AGGGCGTAAGGCGTAGGGCGTTAGGGCGTAGAGCATTAGGGCGTAGGGCGTAGGGCGTAAGACGTCTAAATTGTTGAAGCCTTTGAGAAGGAGCGGCATTAGGGACTCCACCGCGTCGTAGTAGCCCTTAGCTGAGCTATCGGAGGCCAGGCTGAGCAGAAACTTGTGGCCAAGCGGCCTACTCCTCAGGAGCTGCACCCCATGGTCCAGGCGACCCTTCCTCGGCTGCCGCTGCAGCTCTTCTTCAAAACACTCCCCAACGGCGCCCCGTGCGTAGCACTGGGTTGCAAGCTCGAACCTAACCGACTTCGAGGAAGCCTTTGAGAAGGAGCGGCTGGGGGTGTCCAACTCCCAGGCTGGGGGAATCATGTCTGCGCTAGCCCCCGCTTCAGCGACCATGGGGGGAGCAGGGGTAAAAGCAATACCTTGCTTCTTAGCGACAGAAAGCTTCCCAAGGGCCGCATCCAGAGCGGCCTGAAGTTCCGCTACCCTCCGAGCGGCGGCCTTCCGTTCCAGCCGAGCGGCTCGCTGAGCTGCCCGGAAAGCTTCATCAGCTTGATGCCTGGCTTCAAGGGCGTCCCGGTCCCTGACAGTCTCAGACTGCAGAATGTACAACCTAGTATACGAAAGGGAGATGTAGGTTAAAATCAAGCAAGGAGCCAACGATGAACGTAAAAGAGATCAAAGAAGAAGGGCAATTACCCGGAAGCACGTCATCAATGCGTTATTGATGGCGGAAGGGGACGGGCGGGGGAGTAGCTCAACCCCCGAATGGAGGACAAATTCCCTCCAACACTCTATGGTCAGATGTCCGGGGGGTAGGGGGGTAGGCCGGTGTTATCAGCCACAAGGCTAGAAGCTGCAGTGTGGGGCCTTTTCCTTCTCTCCCTCTCGGTGGTAATACTTGTCAGTGAGGTGGAGCCATTCAAGTTAAATTAAAGGAGACTTCTGTGCGGCCTCCAACTTGACATCGTCATCGCCGACTCGCCGTTCGTTACTTGTCACTGCCGACGACCGACTTGCAACATGAGTGGCGAAGCTCGGAAAGAGAAAGGTCGAAGTTGTTGTTCTGCATGCATGTGTTGTCGTCGGCAGCTGCATCTGTCCAATCAGGTTGCTGTCGTCCACTGGGTCTTCCACCCCGTCTAAAAAAATTAGGATTTTTTTGTAACTAGTATGTCATGTCGAATATAAAAATCTTATTATTATACTCCCTCCGTGCAACGGTCAATGTTTCACATTTTTCGAGGCAAAACTTTGATCATTAATATATATAATTCTATATTAGTAAAACAATTAGAAAAAAATAGATTTTGAAAATTTACAATGAGACAAATTTTATTATATATATATTTCAAAATATATTAATACCTTAATAAATAAAACATAATGAAAATAAAGAATCTGAATAACGTAAAATTCAATATGTTGCACTTATTTAAGGACAGAGGTAGTACAATCTAAAATTTATTTATAACATTAAATTTTGCCAAAGTAATAAATGTCAAATAAGGTCTTATATAAGATGATCTGTCCAGCCGACGCCATTTGGGGCGGTTCCCGATGGAATTTTTTGATGAATTTTTTTGAGAATCTTATTCATTAAGTCTGGTTTAGTCATACCAAATTTAAACTAAAAACTCATTCGAGAAGACATTCAAATAAATTCTTGAAGATAACCGCGCTTTTAACTGCGCAGTTATTTTCAAGAATTCATTTGAATGCCTTCCCTATTGAATTTTTAGTTCAAATTTGATATGCTTAAACTAGACTTAATGCATAAGAGCCTTAAGCCTACAAGAACCTACGAAGTAAGACGATGGGCGTTTACATCATAGGAAAGTTTGACTCAAACTTGCCACGTTGTTAGGCTGTTGCAAGTGTCTCCCGCTATATACATCATTCATACCCGTTACCATCTTCAAAACTCCATTCTCATTTCTTGATTTGTTGCAGAAACAAAATTCCATTCTCATTTCTTGATTTGTCACAGAAACAAAACCCCATTCTCATTTCTTGATTTGTCGCAGAAACAAAACTCCATTGCCATTTCTTGATTTGTCCCAGAAACAAAACCCAGACAACTGACAGAGCTCCATTGGCATTTCCTGCGGGTGAACCCAAATTTCTTGATGTGGCCGGAGCTCGCCCTCAATACTTCGTATGGAGTCCTGGTATATGTTCCTGCTAATTTGATAATCTTGATCGTATACCCTGTTCTAATTTGTATCTTTCTTGATGTCTGTGTTCTGAATGTGTTCTAATGCGCATGTTTCTTGATCGAATATCCTGTTCTAATTTGTATCTCTCTTGATGTCTGTGTTCTGAATGTGTTCTAATGCCATGTTTCTTGATCGAATACCCTGTTCTAATTTGTATCTCTCTTGATGTCGGTGTTCTGAATGTGTTCTAATGCGCATGTTTCTTGGTCGAATACCCTGTTTTAGTTCGTATCTTTCTTGATGTATGTGTTTCAGTATGTGTTGTACTTCAGATCTTTCTTGAATCTTGATTGAATACCATGTTTCTTGCTCCATAGCTTCTTTCTTGATGTCTGTGTTTCAGAACACATACCCTGCTCTAATTATTATCTTTCTTGATCGAATACCATGTTTCTTGCTCCACAACTTTCTTTCTTGAATGAAATTCTTCTTGCTGGTTCGGTCATATGGCCATGGCAGGAAAAGCCATTCCTTTGCAAAGCTGGCAAACCGATGCCCTGAGTTCAAACGTAATAAACCTGACCTGTTTTCTATATATGGATTTCTTGACTGCTATCCGGCCGGCAATCTGTTTTATTTACGCGTACGTATTCTGCAGGATAGCTAGACACAATGCTTTCTTGATTATTATATGATTACCTCATTACTTGATTTCTTGATTTGTTGATTAATATATGATTTCTTGATTTCTTAATCACTACTCCGTATATGATTTCTTGATTACTATGTGATTTCTTGATTATTATGTGCATGCCACCCTCAACATGATGGTAGTTTACAAGGTTAAACTTGTATGACCTTCTATGTAGTGCTAGTAATTTTGATTGAAGAAGTGGCACAAGTTAACAAAATTGTCCAGCTATCTTCTTTTGGATTATATACTGTGGAAAAAACAGACTAAAAATTAATGCAAGCTTTTGTTTATATTTCTTTAATTATCTGTTCAGAATTAGCAAATTAGTGTTTCTAAAACTTTGAATTTGCAATCTAGGGAGAACCAGGCCTTGCTCTTGCCAGCTTGCTCTTGCTCATCAGCTTATTGGAAGGGCATTGGGAATTCCTGGAGCTTCTATTCATTGATATGACAAACCAGGTTGGTTGAGTTGATATTTTCTACTTTTCCTCCCTAAATGGCACTCATTATTTCACCATTTTTAGAAGGAAAGTTGAACTGAATGCTTGTCATGACTATAGAAATGCGAAAACAAAGAAAGATGGGTCACATCACGTTTGTGGGGCCCTCGACGGGCATCGTGGAAGCAAGACTAAGATCTGCACTTGAAGAAAATGTCAAGGATGGCCTGTCTTATGGTCAGTTATTCTAGTTGTCATGCACCTTCTGTTCTACCAATCCTTGAATTTGGCTCTCTTGTTAGTCAACCCTCTCTAGTAGGCTTTTCTTATATGGCTACTCAAAAGACTGCCAAAAAACCCACAAAAGGTGAACAAAAATGATCAAATTGAAATCAAACACAACTTACATGAGCAATTCAGTTTTGTTTAACCTGTCAAACTGAAAACAACCTGAACTGATGAGCACCCCTATTCTTATTTCTATCTATTTGATAACAGCTTACTAATATACATAATTATGCAGTTGCACCACGTGTCGGAATCATAATGGGGTCTGATTCAGATCTTCCTGTTATGAAGGGGGCTGCAAGATACTTCAAGATTTTGATGTGCCCACAGAGGTGATCTTTCCATCAATCCATTACCTTGCATTATTTTAATTTCACCTCTCTGGTCAACCATCATATGTCCTAATGTCCACAATATGGCAATAAAAGTTCATGAGTTGTTGCAGGTAAGAATAGTGTCCGCACATAGGACTCCTGAGATGATGTATTCTTATGCTCTGTCTGCATTAGGACGTGGTATTCATGTAATAATTGCTGGTGCTGGGGGTGCGGCCTACTTGCCTGGTCAGTGTATTCATCCAGTAATGCTTAAACAAATTGCTAATAGCGGTGGTAATATAAGCAAGTTTTTTCACCAACAATAAGGCATGTATTGAGTTGGTTTTTGGATTGAACCTAGGCATGGTTGCTGCATTGACTCCATTGCCAGTCATCGGAGTTCCAGTACGAGCCTCTGCTCTCGATGGAATGGACTCTCTATTGTCCACTGTTCAGGTACTAACTTTTAAAGTTAAATTTGATCTCTCAATTCTAAGATGTGAAGTAGAATTTACAGGTGGAATGGGAAGTTTGTTCTTCAACTTACATGATATCCATTTATTCTTTCTCATCCTTCGCATTTTCGAAATATTTCTCACTTCAAGTAAACTACTTCTTCTGTCCCAAAAATAGAAGTGTATGGTTTTTAAAATAAAGCAAACATTTTTGTCCTAACTCCTAAGTAATAGCAAACGTTGAATAAAAACATAATCAAGAAAGGTCTAGTGTTGACATCTCGACTATCGGCCACAAAAACCCCAGAATTGTTTCCGGGCTTCTGGCTACTAATTCCCCAATTTACATCATGCGCTAACTACCAATTCTCGAGGTCAAGGGTTGTGGGAGCCTCAGGTTTGCGGATCAAGCATTTTAAAAGAATGATATTATCTAACAAAATGTTATTCTTCTGCGTAACTTCCAGTACAATCGCATTTAATATTATATTGTATGTAGGTAATGTAGCTCCTTCGGGAAGATTTGAAACTTTTGAAAACAAAAAGAGGATTTTCAAGTCATAGTTGTCTGTTTATGCAGATGCCAAGAGGTATCTGTTAGGTTATCGGTAATTCAACAGTAATTCTGAGCTCAAAAATGGCGATGAAGATAAAAAACAAAAGTTCATTGTTTAACCGAGAGACAAGAATACAATTCCCAAGTCGTTTCCGACTCCCAGTCCCGAGTCCCAAGCCCGCTAATTCCAACCACCCCCTTTCTTCTATTCCCAGCCTACCTTATTTATTCATTCACTCATGGGCCAGCCCACCTCCACTTAGTTATAAGACCTACACCCCTTTTATTACAAAATATTAAGACTTAATAATATTCTTAGGTCTCTATCATCACTCCCCCTTTGACAAACACCTTGTCCTCAAGGTGGGAAGTGACTGAGTAAGAAATAGCTATGCCATTATGCTTTATCCTCGCTCCTCTGCCTTCCCAGTACTTCAGCTCGTATAGTTTTCTTCGTTTTGATCTCCATTCAATCTCTGTGTCCACATAGTGATCCTTTTGGCCACAGTTGTTACCTCCATCCCTTCCCAAAGTCTGATCTCGTACAGAATCTCCCATGAAGAACACATAATCATCTTCGGGACTGTAAGTCTCAGTTTTCGAATCAGCACCCGAGGAAGGTAAGATAGAACTCAGTACACAGCCTCCCGACCTACTCCATGTGCCTAAGACTTCTCCCAGCCTCTGCCTCTCCAGTTGTATCAACATCTTCCCAGGAACAAACTCGATCCTTTCATATTCTATGGAGGCCAGGGCACAACATGCTGCCTCATAGAGAGCAACAACAACCCGCTTACCAAAATTTTCCTCATGCTTCTCAACTATTTGCTCAATCAACCTCTTTAACCTTTCCACAGCTTGATTCATAAAGTCCAGGTCTACTTGGATTGTATTACACTGGTATTCGAGAGTGAACCTATCAGCAATTTCTGTGAACCCTTCCTTCTTCCATGGATTGGCTGTCTCCTTTTCCATCTCCGTTTCAATCATTGCAGATTTGAGCAAGCAGAATTCTTCTTCATTTGCTTGAATCTTTGCAGTGATAGATTTGAGAGGAACTTGGTGTCTGCTTAGATGGGCATCTCCCTGAAGCTTCCTGACTCTTCCATTTTCCCTCCACTTAATAGTGAGCTGGTTGAAATTAAATTCAACAGTTCCCAATCCAGATAACCATTCTAATCCCAAAACCATCTCTATTTCTCCCAATTCTAAGACATAGAAGTCTTGAATGATGTTAGTCTGTTGTATGTTAATAGAAACAGCTTCACATCTCCCATCATTTCTGATTAGGTCCCCATTTCCTATTTCCCTTTTATATTCTGGGAGCTGGTGGACAGATACTCCTGCTGTTTGAGCTACCCTTTGAGATATAAAATTGTGAGTAGCCCCACAATCAATTAGAATGATAATATCTTTAGTCGTTCTGCCACTTGTTAATTTCCCTTTCACTCTGAAAGTCTTAGGGACTGTGATTCCTTCTTTGTTCATGGAAGACAGCTGCATATTAGAGGTGCCTGCTTCTTCCCACTTTGGACTAATTGCCATTGTACCAGGTCTCTTTTTACCAATGCATGAATTTTCTGGCCATTGGATAATCTCTCCTTGCTCCTCGGTTTCGTCCTTCTTATTCAGTTTCTTGATTACAGATTCCGTTGGCTCCATCTCAGTTTTATTTATTGACTGGGGTGATTCTTTCGCAGGTTGAGAAACTAGTGAACTCATCAATCCTGATAGTGAAGAATCTGGTGATTGCGAGTTGGGGTTTTCTACTTGCAACCATTTTTTAGAATGGTAATGCGAAGACCTCGATGACTCTGGTTTTGCTGTCTTCCCTGTCTTCTGCCGGTGTCTAGGTGAAAAATCCCTAATCAAATCTTTTTTTAAAGCCTCCCAACTATCTTCTCTCTTTTGAAAGTCCCACCATTGAAACCAGCCATCTGCAGCTTCCCCCATTGCCTTTGCTGCAATGTCTACTTTAAATCTTTCTGCAATAGCTTGGACTCGGAAATATCTTTCCATCCTCCCTATCCATGCGTACGCTTCAACCTTGTGGAATAGAGGTAATTCCTCTGTCTTTGACCTAGCTCCGACTTCATCGCGAGTCTTCCTCCCATCATCGCTAGTCTTCCGCGCTTCATCGCGATTCTTCCCCACCTTCTCGCTGTTTCGTTCCAATTTGCGCAAACCAGATGCGGACAGTTCTGACCATCGATGTTCTTCGCGTAAACCATAGCGCTTCTCCATGGTTCCAGGCGTCGATTGCTCTGAAGAAGACGAAGAAGATTCACTACTGTCCAGTCTCTTGCTTCGCTTTGTTGTTTTGGACCTTCCGCGCGACTCGCCTCGCTGCGATATGAATTCGCGCAACTCATCGCGAGTTCGCTGAGCTACTTTGCGCATCTCCTCGCGCATGCGCGACGTCTCTGTGCGGCTATTCTCCAGCTCACGTTCCACATTCTCCAATCGCGCTTCCATCATTCCTCTTGTGGTGACCATGTACAGGTAAAAGATCGTTGCTCTGATACCAATGTTAGGTTATCGGTAATTCAACAGTAATTCTGAGCTCAAAAATGGCGATGAAGATAAAAAACAAAAGTTCATTGTTTAACCGAGAGACAAGAATACAATTCCCAAGTCGTTTCCGACTCCCAGTCCCTAGTCCCAAGCCCGCTAATTCCAACCACCCCCTTTCTTCTATTCCCAGCCTACCTTATTTATTCATTCACTCATGGGCCAGCCCACCTCCACTTAGTTATAAGACCTACACCCCTTTTATTACAAAATATTAAGACTTAATAATATTCTTAGGTCTCTATCAGTATCCCAGTTGCAACCGTTGCTATAAAAAATGCAACCAATGCTGGTCTGCTAGCAGTGAGATTATTAGGGATCAGTGACATGAAACTGCAAGCAAGGTCAGCCTCCTTCTGTCCTTTCCAAAACCCTGCTGCTCCATTCTTTTTCTCCAGAAAATATGAACTTTTAGGCTATTTGTTAACCCATATAGTAGCAGGGAAAAGGAAGAAATATAAAAATGCCTAGGAAAATGAGTTTTTAAGGTTTTATTGATGGCGGAAGGGGACGGGCGGGGGAGTAGCTCAACCCCCGAATGGAGGACAAATTCCCTCCAACACTCTATGGTCAGATGTCCGGGGGGTAGGGGGGTAGGCCGGTGTTATCAGCCACAGGGCTAGAAGCTGCAGTGTGGGGCCTTTTCCTTCTCTCCCTCTCGGTGGTAATACTTGTCAGTGAGGTGGAGCCATTCAAGTTAAATTAAAGGAGACTTCTGTGCGGCCTCCAACTTGACATCGTCATCGCCGACTCGCCGTTCGTTACTTGTCACTGCCGACGACCGACTTGCAACATGAGTGGCGAAGCTCGGAAAGAGAAAGGTCGAAGTTGTTGTTCTGCATGCATGTGTTGTCGTCGGCAGCTGCATCTGTCCAATCAGGTTGCTGTCGTCCACTGGGTCTTCCACCCCGTCTAAAAAAATTAGGATTTTTTTGTAACTAGTATGTCATGTCGAATATAAAAATCTTATTATTATACTCCCTCCGTGCAACGGTCAATGTTTCACATTTTTCGAGGCAAAACTTTGATCATTAATATATATAATTCTATATTAGTAAAACAATTAGAAAAAAATAGATTTTGAAAATTTACAATGAGACAAATTTTATTATATATATATTTCAAAATATATTAATACCTTAATAAATAAAACATAATGAAAATAAAGAATCTGAATAACGTAAAATTCAATATGTTGCACTTATTTAAGGACAGAGGTAGTACAATCTAAAATTTATTTATAACATTAAATTTTGCCAAAGTAATAAATGTCAAATAAGGTCTTATATAAGATGATCTGTCCAGCCGACGCCATTTGGGGCGGTTCCCGATGGAATTTTTTGATGAATTTTTTTGAGAATCTTATTCATTAAGTCTGGTTTAGTCATACCAAATTTAAACTAAAAACTCATTCGAGAAGACATTCAAATAAATTCTTGAAGATAACCGCGCTTTTAACTGCGCAGTTATTTTCAAGAATTCATTTGAATGCCTTCCCTATTGAATTTTTAGTTCAAATTTGATATGCGTAAACTAGACTTAATGCATAAGAGCCTTAAGCGTACAAGAACCTACGAAGTAAGACGATGGGCGTTTACATCATAGGAAAGTTTGACTCAAACTTGCCACGTTGTTAGGCTGTTGCAAGTGTCTCCCGCTATATACATCATTCATACCCGTTACCATCTTCAAAACTCCATTCTCATTTCTTGATTTGTTGCAGAAACAAAATTCCATTCTCATTTCTTGATTTGTCACAGAAACAAAACCCCATTCTCATTTCTTGATTTGTCGCAGAAACAAAACTCCATTGCCATTTCTTGATTTGTCCCAGAAACAAAACCCAGACAACTGACAGAGCTCCATTGGCATTTCCTGCGGGTGAACCCAAATTTCTTGATGTGGCCGGAGCTCGCCCTCAATACTTCGTATGGAGTCCTGGTATATGTTCCTGCTAATTTGATAATCTTGATCGTATACCCTGTTCTAATTTGTATCTTTCTTGATGTCTGTGTTCTGAATGTGTTCTAATGCGCATGTTTCTTGATCGAATATCCTGTTCTAATTTGTATCTCTCTTGATGTCTGTGTTCTGAATGTGTTCTAATGCCATGTTTCTTGATCGAATACCCTGTTCTAATTTGTATCTCTCTTGATGTCGGTGTTCTGAATGTGTTCTAATGCGCATGTTTCTTGGTCGAATACCCTGTTCTAGTTCGTATCTTTCTTGATGTATGTGTTTCAGTATGTGTTGTACTTCAGATCTTTCTTGAATCTTGATTGAATACCATGTTTCTTGCTCCATAGCTTCTTTCTTGATGTCTGTGTTTCAGAACACATACCCTGCTCTAATTATTATCTTTCTTGATCGAATACCATGTTTCTTGCTCCACAACTTTCTTTCTTGAATGAAATTCTTCTTGCTGGTTCGGTCATATGGCCATGGCAGGAAAAGCCATTCCTTTGCAAAGCTGGCAAACCGATGCCCTGAGTTCAAACGTAATAAACCTGACCTGTTTTCTATATATGGATTTCTTGACTGCTATCCGGCCGGCAATCTGTTTTATTTACGCGTACGTATTCTGCAGGATAGCTAGACACAATGCTTTCTTGATTATTATATGATTACCTCATTACTTGATTTCTTGATTTGTTGATTAATATATGATTTCTTGATTTCTTAATCACTACTCCGTATATGATTTCTTGATTACTATGTGATTTCTTGATTATTATGTGCATGCCACCCTCAACATGATGGTAGTTTACAAGGTTAAACTTGTATGACCTTCTATGTAGTGCTAGTAATTTTGATTGAAGAAGTGGCACAAGTTAACAAAATTGTCCAGCTATCTTCTTTTGGATTATATACTGTGGAAAAAACAGACTAAAAATTAATGCAAGCTTTTGTTTATATTTCTTTAATTATCTGTTCAGAATTAGCAAATTAGTGTTTCTAAAACTTTGAATTTGCAATCTAGGGAGAACCAGGCCTTGCTCTTGCCAGCTTGCTCTTGCTCATCAGCTTATTGGAAGGGCATTGGGAATTCCTGGAGCTTCTATTCATTGATATGACAAACCAGGTTGGTTGAGTTGATATTTTCTACTTTTCCTCCCTAAATGGCACTCATTATTTCACCATTTTTAGAAGGAAAGTTGAACTGAATGCTTGTCATGACTATAGAAATGCGAAAACAAAGAAAGATGGGTCACATCACGTTTGTGGGGCCCTCGACGGGCATCGTGGAAGCAAGACTAAGATCTGCACTTGAAGAAAATGTCAAGGATGGCCTGTCTTATGGTCAGTTATTCTAGTTGTCATGCACCTTCTGTTCTACCAATCCTTGAATTTGGCTCTCTTGTTAGTCAACCCTCTCTAGTAGGCTTTTCTTATATGGCTACTCAAAAGACTGCCAAAAAACCCACAAAAGGTGAACAAAAATGATCAAATTGAAATCAAACACAACTTACATGAGCAATTCAGTTTTGTTTAACCTGTCAAACTGAAAACAACCTGAACTGATGAGCACCCCTATTCTTATTTCTATCTATTTGATAACAGCTTACTAATATACATAATTATGCAGTTGCACCACGTGTCGGAATCATAATGGGGTCTGATTCAGATCTTCCTGTTATGAAGGGGGCTGCAAGATACTTCAAGATTTTGATGTGCCCACAGAGGTGATCTTTCCATCAATCCATTACCTTGCATTATTTTAATTTCACCTCTCTGGTCAACCATCATATGTCCTAATGTCCACAATATGGCAATAAAAGTTCATGAGTTGTTGCAGGTAAGAATAGTGTCCGCACATAGGACTCCTGAGATGATGTATTCTTATGCTCTGTCTGCATTAGGACGTGGTATTCATGTAATAATTGCTGGTGCTGGGGGTGCGGCCTACTTGCCTGGTCAGTGTATTCATCCAGTAATGCTTAAACAAATTGCTAATAGCGGTGGTAATATAAGCAAGTTTTTTCACCAACAATAAGGCATGTATTGAGTTGGTTTTTGGATTGAACCTAGGCATGGTTGCTGCATTGACTCCATTGCCAGTCATCGGAGTTCCAGTACGAGCCTCTGCTCTCGATGGAATGGACTCTCTATTGTCCACTGTTCAGGTACTAACTTTTAAAGTTAAATTTGATCTCTCAATTCTAAGATGTGAAGTAGAATTTACAGGTGGAATGGGAAGTTTGTTCTTCAACTTACATGATATCCATTTATTCTTTCTCATCCTTCGCATTTTCGAAATATTTCTCACTTCAAGTAAACTACTTCTTCTGTCCCAAAAATAGAAGTGTATGGTTTTTAAAATAAAGCAAACATTTTTGTCCTAACTCCTAAGTAATAGCAAACGTTGAATAAAAACATAATCAAGAAAGGTCTAGTGTTGACATCTCGACTATCGGCCACAAAAACCCCAGAATTGTTTCCGGGCTTCTGGCTACTAATTCCCCAATTTACATCATGCGCTAACTACCAATTCTCGAGGTCAAGGGTTGTGGGAGCCTCAGGTTTGCGGATCAAGCATTTTAAAAGAATGATATTATCTAACAAAATGTTATTCTTCTGCGTAACTTCCAGTACAATCGCATTTAATATTATATTGTATGTAGGTAATGTAGCTCCTTCGGGAAGATTTGAAACTTTTGAAAACAAAAAGAGGATTTTCAAGTCATAGTTGTCTGTTTATGCAGATGCCAAGAGGTATCTGTTAGGTTATCGGTAATTCAACAGTAATTCTGAGCTCAAAAATGGCGATGAAGATAAAAAACAAAAGTTCATTGTTTAACCGAGAGACAAGAATACAATTCCCAAGTCGTTTCCGACTCCCAGTCCCGAGTCCCAAGCCCGCTAATTCCAACCACCCCCTTTCTTCTATTCCCAGCCTACCTTATTTATTCATTCACTCATGGGCCAGCCCACCTCCACTTAGTTATAAGACCTACACCCCTTTTATTACAAAATATTAAGACTTAATAATATTCTTAGGTCTCTATCATCACTCCCCCTTTGACAAACACCTTGTCCTCAAGGTGGGAAGTGACTGAGTAAGAAATAGCTATGCCATTATGCTTTATCCTCGCTCCTCTGCCTTCCCAGTACTTCAGCTCGTATAGTTTTCTTCGTTTTGATCTCCATTCAATCTCTGTGTCCACATAGTGATCCTTTTGGCCACAGTTGTTACCTCCATCCCTTCCCAAAGTCTGATCTCGTACAGAATCTCCCATGAAGAACACATAATCATCTTCGGGACTGTAAGTCTCAGTTTTCGAATCAGCACCCGAGGAAGGTAAGATAGAACTCAGTACACAGCCTCCCGACCTACTCCATGTGCCTAAGACTTCTCCCAGCCTCTGCCTCTCCAGTTGTATCAACATCTTCCCAGGAACAAACTCGATCCTTTCATATTCTATGGAGGCCAGGGCACAACATGCTGCCTCATAGAGAGCAACAACAACCCGCTTACCAAAATTTTCCTCATGCTTCTCAACTATTTGCTCAATCAACCTCTTTAACCTTTCCACAGCTTGATTCATAAAGTCCAGGTCTACTTGGATTGTATTACACTGGTATTCGAGAGTGAACCTATCAGCAATTTCTGTGAACCCTTCCTTCTTCCATGGATTGGCTGTCTCCTTTTCCATCTCCGTTTCAATCATTGCAGATTTGAGCAAGCAGAATTCTTCTTCATTTGCTTGAATCTTTGCAGTGATAGATTTGAGAGGAACTTGGTGTCTGCTTAGATGGGCATCTCCCTGAAGCTTCCTGACTCTTCCATTTTCCCTCCACTTAATAGTGAGCTGGTTGAAATTAAATTCAACAGTTCCCAATCCAGATAACCATTCTAATCCCAAAACCATCTCTATTTCTCCCAATTCTAAGACATAGAAGTCTTGAATGATGTTAGTCTGTTGTATGTTAATAGAAACAGCTTCACATCTCCCATCATTTCTGATTAGGTCCCCATTTCCTATTTCCCTTTTATATTCTGGGAGCTGGTGGACAGATACTCCTGCTGTTTGAGCTACCCTTTGAGATATAAAATTGTGAGTAGCCCCACAATCAATTAGAATGATAATATCTTTAGTCGTTCTGCCACTTGTTAATTTCCCTTTCACTCTGAAAGTCTTAGGGACTGTGATTCCTTCTTTGTTCATGGAAGACAGCTGCATATTAGAGGTGCCTGCTTCTTCCCACTTTGGACTAATTGCCATTGTACCAGGTCTCTTTTTACCAATGCATGAATTTTCTGGCCATTGGATAATCTCTCCTTGCTCCTCGGTTTCGTCCTTCTTATTCAGTTTCTTGATTACAGATTCCGTTGGCTCCATCTCAGTTTTATTTATTGACTGGGGTGATTCTTTCGCAGGTTGAGAAACTAGTGAACTCATCAATCCTGATAGTGAAGAATCTGGTGATTGCGAGTTGGGGTTTTCTACTTGCAACCATTTTTTAGAATGGTAATGCGAAGACCTCGATGACTCTGGTTTTGCTGTCTTCCCTGTCTTCTGCCGGTGTCTAGGTGAAAAATCCCTAATCAAATCTTTTTTTAAAGCCTCCCAACTATCTTCTCTCTTTTGAAAGTCCCACCATTGAAACCAGCCATCTGCAGCTTCCCCCATTGCCTTTGCTGCAATGTCTACTTTAAATCTTTCTGCAATAGCTTGGACTCGGAAATATCTTTCCATCCTCCCTATCCATGCGTACGCTTCAACCTTGTGGAATAGAGGTAATTCCTCTGTCTTTGACCTAGCTCCGACTTCATCGCGAGTCTTCCTCCCATCATCGCTAGTCTTCCGCGCTTCATCGCGATTCTTCCCCACCTTCTCGCTGTTTCGTTCCAATTTGCGCAAACCAGATGCGGACAGTTCTGACCATCGATGTTCTTCGCGTAAACCATAGCGCTTCTCCATGGTTCCAGGCGTCGATTGCTCTGAAGAAGACGAAGAAGATTCACTACTGTCCAGTCTCTTGCTTCGCTTTGTTGTTTTGGACCTTCCGCGCGACTCGCCTCGCTGCGATATGAATTCGCGCAACTCATCGCGAGTTCGCTGAGCTACTTTGCGCATCTCCTCGCGCATGCGCGACGTCTCTGTGCGGCTATTCTCCAGCTCACGTTCCACATTCTCCAATCGCGCTTCCATCATTCCTCTTGTGGTGACCATGTACAGGTAAAAGATCGTTGCTCTGATACCAATGTTAGGTTATCGGTAATTCAACAGTAATTCTGAGCTCAAAAATGGCGATGAAGATAAAAAACAAAAGTTCATTGTTTAACCGAGAGACAAGAATACAATTCCCAAGTCGTTTCCGACTCCCAGTCCCTAGTCCCAAGCCCGCTAATTCCAACCACCCCCTTTCTTCTATTCCCAGCCTACCTTATTTATTCATTCACTCATGGGCCAGCCCACCTCCACTTAGTTATAAGACCTACACCCCTTTTATTACAAAATATTAAGACTTAATAATATTCTTAGGTCTCTATCAGTATCCCAGTTGCAACCGTTGCTATAAAAAATGCAACCAATGCTGGTCTGCTAGCAGTGAGATTATTAGGGATCAGTGACATGAAACTGCAAGCAAGGTCAGCCTCCTTCTGTCCTTTCCAAAACCCTGCTGCTCCATTCTTTTTCTCCAGAAAATATGAACTTTTAGGCTATTTGTTAACCCATATAGTAGCAGGGAAAAGGAAGAAATATAAAAATGCCTAGGAAAATGAGTTTTTAAGGTTTTATTTTATACACGCCGTGGTTGGCCTTCCACTTGGTGATCCATCATTGAAAACATCTGCTATACACGCTTTCTTGATTACTCTTCCAGATATTCACCGTTTTCATGGTATACAAACCATTTTGATAAAATGACTAAATACTAAATCATTTTGAAAACTCCGCCCCCTTTCTTCATCTATCCATTTTCTTTTTCCCCAATCATCCGCACAATGCTAGCGTCTATATCAGTGATAGGAATGAAGCGGCAGTATGTATATAATAGCAACAGACTTGATTCGTATTGATAATATTGAGTGAAAACAACGTGGAATCAGAGTGATCCGACTTGATTACAATTTATGAAACTGAGAAACATGAATGAAAACGATAAAAGAGTTTTACAGAGTCCTCACTTGATAGACAAGGTCAATACCACCAGAAGTTCACAGTGAAAAGGGTAAGAGAGATGATCGGAAAACTTTATTAGCTAACCGAACAGTTCACGAAGGATACAATGCTCAGGGGCGAATTCGAGAGGCCCAATCTCCAAAGTTCTGACATCCAACAAAATAACAGCCTGCCTCAATTAGCTATTCCCCCCTTCTATTTATAGCTATTATCCACAGGGATATGCCAGATATTACTAATACCCCCCTCCCTTCTATTAATACTACTACAAGTACCTTTACCTTTACTATTATTATTATTTCTTATTAATAGCCTACTAAACCCAGATTCCTATCAATACTCCCCCCCCCCCCCCCCCCCCCTAAATAACCACCTTGTCCTCAAGGTGGGTGATAGGAATGAGCCATGATCTTCCACTTGCACTTCATTCTTGCACCTCTCCCTTCCCAATACTTGACTGGTTGATGGACTAGGGACTTCAATAGTAGATCTTTTAAAATCACAGACCTTTCGATGGCAGAAGAGATCTTTAGTGAAGTTTCATTCACTTCAGTAACTTTCAAACACTCAACAACAGCAAATGTTTCTGTACTTTTCTGCAGCTCCTCATTGTTTCTCTCTTCTGAAACTAATACTGCACTAGATGCAAATTTCTCTCCGTACCTTGCAATGGAGTCAAAGATTCATTATTTTTTGGCTTGAGATTATGATGGAATAAAGCAAAATGGCTCACTAAACTGTTTGCGCTTCTTTGTCGTGAAGCAGCAGTCAGTCCATGCAATTTTGGACGGGATTTTCACTATGGGTCATCCGGAAACAGTCTCTCTGTGCTTAGTACAGGGGTAAGACTGCGTACATCCGACCCCCCCTTACCCCACCGTAGGTGGGAGCCTTTGCGGCACTGGGGTAAATGAAAATGATGACCTTTCAACTTCTTCCTCTTTCCAGTCTTTTCCTATCATGTAAAGTTTCCAAAATGTTTTTTGTTGCTGGTAAGCCTTCCCTTCACCAGAAAGAAAACTGGCCATTTTCCAGCCTTGCTTCCCATTTATCTTTTCCCTGATTTGAATGTATTTTTCTACAGAACAGTTCTCTTCTGGATCATTGGAGCATAAGACCATTTTGTAAGGTTGACATTTTGCTTCAACTTCCAGTCCATTAACAGCAGCCTGAATAGTAGGGTCCGGATCCACACTTATTCTACACATCAGGTAGTCTGAAATAGGTCTAAAAACACCGCCATGATTCTTAAAATAGATAGCAGCATCCAACTCCTTTATTGCGTGAAATTTTCTGTCAACATTGCAAAGATCTAATTCATCATCCCCTCTTAGCCCAGAATCTGAGGAGTCCCAATTTGCCGAAAGTATCAAATTGCAGCCCATTATTGCCATCCCTGCCTTGACCTCTGAGTGATTGAAAACTGATTTTTTTATTGCACTATTATGTAGTTCCTTCATAACACCTTGCTTTGGTAAAATACCCTGGAATAATAATAAAACTCCTTCACCCATAAGAGTTTGATCGTGATCTTCAGCATCGATAACACACTTCCCCATCCATCTGCTATTAGTAAGTGTGTCACTCAAATGCCAATCCTCACGTCTTTTCCTGAGTATCTTGAGTTGATGAGCAGCAATTTCCATATGAAACCTGTAGTCAAAACATACCCCTCTATTCTGCACAGGGACACGAACTGCTGGCATTCTCCTCACATCTTCACCAATGATTATGGCCTCTAGGAAGCTTCCACGACTGAAATCATTGACACCCTTTTTCCCTTCCATATCTATTTTATGGCGTGCCTGGATCCTTTTACCAGCAATAGTCATCTGAGTTGGGTAGTGAAAACCTATCATTTCCTCTTGAACAGATAGACAAACTGCAGACAGACCCCTAACCTCTTTCCCAGAGATAATGGTGTATGGTAATAGATTAAGATTGAGATCGTTGACAAGCAACAAATTCACGTCAGCCTCAACTTCAGTAACATATCCAACATACTCCTTAAAATTCCTAGTAATTCCTCCCCTCAATCCATTTAGATTATACATCATCGAAGTAAAGCCATCAATTCTGAGGCTATCCAAATTGTTCAGTGTTCTCCGAGTAATATGTGATGATTGGCAGTACATCTTATCCATCAAAACCTCCAATCCACGTCCAGTGAAACCTTCCCTGGTGTCTGATGAAAATCCTGTAGGTTGATTAATATCCTCTTCAGGGTCTGATTCTGTAACTGATGCTGCAACCGACTTCAGTTCTGTGTTCATTGTCGTTGGTGTAGTCCCCTGCGATTCCTTCCCTGATGAGACCAACTCGAAGGTTCTGGAAGCTGATGAATCTGGCGCAAGGTGAGAAACTCCAATCGACGATGAGCTGTGAAAGCCTGCTGGTGAGGAAACCTGCGAACTCAGCGAATCTGATAGGGAGGAAACTGGCGACAGCGAACTGGAGAATATGCTAGCGTATGTGTCAGTTTGCCACAAATCTGATGGATTAGGAGAAGTTGCTTCCAGAAACCCCTGAGAACTGGAATGATATGTGAACGTCGAACTCTGCGACCTATGAGAGGCTGTATGCGACGGGGCCGGTGAACTAAGGACATCTGCTCGCCCAGACGCTTGCGAACCGGGAAGAGCTGTTGGCGACGATGATGAAGTTCGCGATTGCGAAGAAGAAAATCGCGATTGCGAACTGCGAGAATTCCTTGACGATCGCGACTCCTGGTCCTCTGACTTCCGACTGCGTTGTTGGAAACACCGATTTATGTCCTCCTTCAGAACTTCCCAACTCTTTCCTCGCGTTCGAAATTCCCACCCTTGAAACCAGTAAAACGCATCATCCTCCATAGCCTCTGCTGCGACTTCAACTTTATTTTTCTCCCCAGTAGCCTTGAGACGGAAATATTCTTCCATCCTCACAATCCAACTGTCTGCATCATCCCCGTCAAACAACGGTAGTTCAACCTTTATTCTTGTACGGATATCTCTTCTACTGCTATAGCGTCCCTTACTAGTGATCAGAATTACCTTCTGACGCAGCTAGACTCTCAGATTCCTTTTTTCGTCGATGTTTAGAAGTGTGCGATCTTCCTCTGGTTTGAAACTGTTCATTTATCACCGCCAAGGATGCAGCGATGTTCTCCATCGCAGATTTCCTCTTCATGTTCAAACGCTTCTCCAGGTTCGAGCGCACCTCCAGGTTCGAACCAAAGGCGTCCAGTTATGACCGTCGTGGTTCTCTGCTCTGCTCAGCGACAATCTTCGTTCGTTTGTATCTCAGCATCGCAAATCATAAACTCTCTACTTCCGCGATAATTAAGACTCCCGGAGCGAGTGCTCTGATACCATTGATAGACAAGGTCAATACCACCAGAAGTTCAGAGTGAAAAGGGTAAGAGAGATGATCGGAAAACTTTATTAGCTAACCGAACAGTTCACTCAGGGGCGAATTCGAGAGGCCCAATCTCCAAAGTTCTGACATCCAACAAAATAACAGCCTGCCTCAATTAGCTATTCCCCCCTTCTATTTATAGCTATTATCCACAGGGATATGCCATATATTACTAATACCCCCCTCCCTTCTATTAATACTACTACAAGTACCTTTACCTTTACTATTATTATTATTATTTCTTATTAATAGCCTACTAAACCCAGATTCCTATCATCACTCTCCCATGGACAAGCCAAATTCCAGTCTGCCCCAATCTAGCAAACTAATTGGATTCTTGTATCTTTGGAATCACATTTATATATGTAGTGAGCTTTCAAACAAGTCTTATGTAGGAAGCAATGTCTAAAAGATATGCTCAAAATGTTTTCTTCAGAGTTGCTTGAGATGATCGAGCAAGCAATGCCAGGTTCGGAAGATATGCAAAAGATGTAATAAACTGGGGGTGGAAAGGAAGCTGGGCTAAAAGATATGCACAAAATGTTTTCTTCAGGTCCATATCCATATATAAACTGATGCTCTCTTTTCTATGTAATAAACTTGTCCTGTTTTCTATGAATTTCTTGATGACTATCCAACACTCTGCCGTAGCTGCTGCAACTCCAGGAAAGAGAGCATATTGACTGGTTACTTGGTTAGCTCAGCGAATATGCAACAAACAGACCTGATGACCGGCAACAAATAAGGTATCTAATATATTCCTTATAAATAACTATAATAAGGGAATGAGTACTCGTTATTCATTACAACAGCCCTTACGCTTACCGTGTATATGGATTAATAACGGCATTCCTTTATTAATGACATTGTCACAAAAATAATACTCCATAGTTTTATTCTTGGAGAACATTTCTTTTAAAAGCAAGTTGTCATAGACCTTTTCAACATATATGCTGAAAATACTACAAATAAGTCTTATGACAACTCTTAACAGATCATGTACAATTAATAACCGTTTCAATAAGCATATAAATCAAAGTACCTCAATGTGAGTAGCATATGTTATCATCTGTTGCACACGCATCTTAAGAACAATTATACACAATTGATCATTCGAGTTAATAAAATACATCCTAACCATATCACTTGAAAAACACAAAAAATAGATGAAATTATTAATTAATTAGAGAAGAAGTCATTAAGTTCAATACAAAACTATGAACTTGAATTGCAATAGTAAATCCAAAAAATTTAGAGTATATAAAATTCAAATCACCGCTATAAATAAATCTGACCTCATTACTAATATTAGTCCTACAAACACATACACGATTCAAATGCCAAGACAACAATACCCTTGGTTAATGTCTAGTTGCTTTAAGAAGTAAATAAAAGGAACTTCGTACCCGGTGTTACATCTCCAATATCACTTGGAAAAAAATAGATGAAATTATTAATTATTAACTAATTAGAGAATAAATAATTAAATTCAATGTGAAATTATGAAGTTGAAATGCAAATATATAGGGCGTAGGGAGGTAGGCAGGTAGGGCGTAGGGGGTAGGGCATAGGGGGGTAGGACGTAGGGAGGTAGGGCGTAGGGAGGTAAGGTGTAGGGCGTAGGGAGGTAGGGCGTAAGAAGGTAGGGCGTAGGGAGGTAGGGAGGTAGGGCGTAGGGAGGTAGGGCGTAGGGAGGTAGGGCGTAGGGAGGTAGGGCGTAGGGAGGTAGGGCGTACCTCCCTACGCCCTACCTCCCTACCTCCCTACGCCCTACCTCCTTACGCCCTACACCTTACCACCCTACGCCCTACCTCCCTACGCCCTACCCCCTACGCCCTACCCCCTACGCCCTACCCCCTACGCCCTACCCCCCTACGCCCTACCCCCCTATGCCCTACCTCTGTACGCCCTACCTCCCTACACCCAACCTCCCTACCTGCCTACGCCATACCTGCCTACGCCTTATATATTTGCATTTCGACTTCATAATTTCACATTGAATTTAATTATTTATTCTCGAATTAGTTAATAAATTAATAATTTCATCTATTTTTTTTCAAGTGATATTGGAGATGTAACACCGGGTACGAAGTTCCTTTTATTTACTTCTTAAAGCAACTAAACATTAACCAAGGGTATTGTTGTCTTTGCATTCGAATTGTGTATGTGTTTGTAGGACTAATATTAGTAATGAGTTCAGATTTATTTATAGCGGTGATTTGAATTTTATACTCTAAATTTTTTGGATTTACTATTGCAATTCAATTTCATAGTTTTTATTGAACTTAATGACTTCTTCTCTAATTAATTAATAAATTCATCTATTTTTTGTGTTTTTCAAGTGAAATGGCTAGGATGTATTTTATTAACTCGAATGATCAATTGTGCAGAATTGTTCTTAAGATGCGTGTGCAACAGATGATAACATATGCTACTCACATTGAGGTACTATGATTTATATGCCTATTGAAACGGTTATTAATTGTACATGATATGTTAAGAGTTGTCATAAGACTTATTTGTAGTATTTTCAGCATATATGTTGAAAAGGTCTATGACAACTTGCTTTTAAAAGAAATGTTCTCCAAGAATATAACTATGGAGTATTATTTTTGTGACAATGTCATTAATAAAGGAATGCCGTTATTAATCCATATACACGATAAGCACTATAAAATAGTAAGAGCTGTTGTAATGAATAACGAGTACTCATTCCCTTATTATAGTTATTTATAAGGAATATATTAGATACCTTATTTGTTGCCGGTCATCAGGTCTGTTTGTTGCATATTCACTGAGCTAACCAAGTAACCAGTCAATATGTTCTCTTTCCTGGAGTTGCAGCAGCTACTGCAGAGTGTTGGGTAGTCATCAAGAAATTCATAGAAAAGGTCGTAGAGAGGTAGGGCGTAGTATTTTCAGCATATATGTTGAAAAGGTCTATGAAAACTAATTTGTAGTATTTTCAGCATATATAGGGCGTAGGGAGGTATGGCGTAGGGAGGTAAGGTGTAGGACGTAGGGAGGTAGGGTGTAAGGAGGTAGGGCGTAGGGAGGTAGGGAGGTAAGGCGTAGGGAGGTAAGGCATAGGGAGGTAGGGGTAGGGTGTAGGGCGTAGGGAGGTAGGGCGTAGGGAGGTAGGGGCATAGAGAGGTAGGGCGTAGGGAGGTAGGGCGTAGGGTGTAGGGAGGTAGGGCGTAGGGAGGTAGGGCGGTAGGGCGTAGGGAGGTAGGGTGTAGGGCGTATGGAGGTAGGGCGTAGGGAGGTAGGGCGTAGGGAGGTAGGGCGTAGAGAGGTAGGACGTAGGGAGGTAGGGCGTAGGGAGGTAGGGCGTAGGGAGGTAGGGCGTAGGGAGGTAGGGCGTAGGGAGGTAGGGCGTACGGAGGTAGGTGGCGAGGTAGGGCGTAAGGAGGTAGGGCATAGGGAGGTAGGGCGTAGGGAGGTAGGGCGTACGGAGGTAAGGCATAGGGAGGTAGGGCATAGGGAGGTAGGGCGTAGGGAGGAAGGGCGTAGGGAGGTAGGGCATAAGGAGGTATGGCGTAGGGAAGTAGGGCATAGGGCGTAGGGAGGTATGGCATAGGGCGTAGGGAGGTATGGCATAGGGCGTAGGGAGGTAGGGCATAGGGCGTAGGGAGGTAGGGCCTAGGGAGGTAGGGCGTAGGGAGGTAGGGCGTAGGGAGGTAGGACGTAGGGGGGTAGGGCGTAGGGAGGTAGGGCGTAGGGAGGTAGGGCATAGGGAGGTAGGGCGTAGGGAGGTAGGGCATAGGGAGGTAGGGCGTACGGAGGTAAGGCATAGGGAGGTAGGGCATAGGGAGGTAGGGCGTAGGGAGGAAGATCGTAGGGAGGTAGGGCGTAGGGAGGAAGAGCGTATGGAGGTAGGGCATAAGGAGGTAGGGAGGTAGGGCATAGGGAGGTAGGGCATAGGGCGTAGGGAGGTAGGGCATAGGGCGTAGGGAGGTAGGGCATAGGGCGTAGGGAGGTAGGGCGTAGGGAGGTAGGGAGGTAGGGCGTAAGGCGTAGGGAGGTAGGGCGTAGGGCGTAGGGAGGTAGGGCGTAAGGCGTAGGGAGGTAGGGCGTAGGGAGGTAGGGCGTAGGGAGGTAAAGCGTAGGGGGGTAGGGCGTAGGCAGGTAAGGCGTAGGGCGTAGGGAGTTGGGAGGTAGGGCGTAGGGAGGTAGGGCATAAGGCGTAGGGAGGTAGGGCATAGGGAGGTGGGGCGTAGGGCGTAGGGAGGTAGGGCGTAAGGCGTAGGGAGGTAGGGCGTAAGGCGTAGGGAGGTAGGGCGTAGGGAGGTAAGGCGTAGGGCGTAGGGAGGTAGGGCGTTGGGAGGTAGGGCGTAGGGAGGTAGGGAGGTAGGGCGTAGGGAGGTAGGGCGTAGGGAGGTAGGGCGTAGGGAGGTAAGGCGTAGGGTGGTAGGGCGTAGGGAGGTAGGGCGTAGGGAGGTAGGGCGTAGGGCGTAGGGAGGTAGGGCGTAGGGAGGTAGGGCGTAGGGAGGTAGGGCGTAGGGAGGTAGGGAGGTAGGGCGTAGGGAGGTAGGGCATAGGGAGGTAGGTCGTAGGGAGGTAGGGCGTAGGGAGGTAGGGCGTAGGACGTAGGGAGGTAGGGCGTAGGGAGGTACCCCCTACCCCCTACCTCCTTACGCCCTACCTCCCTACGCCCTACCTCCCTACGCCCTACTCCCTACGCCCGAAACCCGAAACCCGAAACCTGAAACCTGAAACCCGAAACCCGAATCCCGAAACCCGAAACCCGAAACCCGAAACCCGAAACCCGAAACCCGAAACCCGAAACCCGAAACCCGAAACCTGAAACCCGAACCCCGAACCCCGAACCCCGAACCCCGAAACCCGAAACCCGAAACCCGAAACCCGAAACCCGAATCCCGAAACCCGAAACTCGAAACCCGAAACCCGAAAACCCGAACCCCGAAATCCGAACCCCGAACCCCGAACCCCGAACCCCGAAACCCGAAACCCGAACCCCGAACCCCGAACTTCGAACCCCGAACCCCGAACCCCGAACCCGAACCCGAACCCCGAATCCCTAACCCCGAACCCCGAACCCCGAACCCCGAAACCCGAAAACCGAATCCCGAAGCCCGAACCCCGAACCCGAACCCCGAACCCCGAACCCCGAAACCCGAAACCCGAACCCCGAACCCCGAAACCCGAAACCCAGACCCTGAAACCCAAACCCCGAACCCCGAACCCGAACCCGATCCCCGAAACCCGAATCTCGAACCCCGAAACCCGATTCCCAAAACCTGGATCATGAATCCCGGAACCCGAATCCCGGATCCCGAACCCCGGATCCCGAACCCCGAAACCCGGAACCTGAACCCGAAACCCGGAACCCTGAAACCCGAACCCTGAAACCCGAAACTCGAAACCCGAAACCGGATCCCTGAACCCCGAAACCCGAAACCCGAACCCCGAAACCCGAACCTCGAAACCCGAAACCCGAACCTCGAAACCCGAAACCCGAAACCCCAAACCCCAAATCTGAATCGTGAAACCTGAAACCCGAAACTCGAAACCTCAAACCTAAATCCGGAAACCCAAAACATGAAACC